GGTCATTCTAGCCACAGGCGACATCCGGGTTGTCATAGGGAGAGGCTCTGAGACTCATTTTGTTGGTGTCTCCGTGAGGAAAAACGTGGACGGGTGTCTCGTGGTTGCGGGGACATGCTGCGAGATTCAGACCATCGATGTCTCCGTGGGGGAGAGCGTGATCGGCGGTCTTTCTCCAGCATTCCAATTTGTTCATTCTGTTGGAAAATAATGAAGTTGGTCTAGTTGATTGTTACGAACAGGGCCACCGTGGTAGGATCGACGTTGGGGGGTACGGGAATTGGTTGAAAAACCCTCAAATTCTCAAAATGTTGGACGGCGTTGTATGCTGCATTGTCGAAGGATGGAGAGGCGGTGAGTTTGTCTCTAAGGTCACCCTCTTTAGCAACATTCGTCCCATTGTTGTTATGGTCACCGCCGGTATTGAAGGTGGTGAACGTTTCGTGAACGTTATCATCGGCGTGTTGATTGGCTGTGATGATCGGTAGGTTTTTAAAATTTTGTTTTGGTCTTTAGTAATTAGAGAAAAGAAAAGGCGGGGGAGCAAAGGATTTCCACAGACGGCGCCACTGATTTTACCGGGATCAGAGATTCAATCAGCGGCCAGCAACACGTCGTGGACTCCGAATTCATTGGTGACGGGGAAGAGGAGGGGTGTACCTGCAAGGAACTCCGATGTCAAAGTAAAGTTCATAGTGAGAATGAATTCAGAATATCTGACCCTCCTGTGAATGATGGTATTTATAGTGTGCTCACGGCGCTGGGCCAAAGGTGATCAATTATGGGTTGGATCGTTAGGCCAACAACAGATGATTGCCAGGATCCTACGTGGAAGTAGGGAAGACCAACACGTGGTCTTCATCCTTGGTCAAGTGCCTCACGAACTTCGTAGTGGGTTTGCCCATTTCTGAGGGCGATACTGCCCCGCAAAAAGAGTGAGTTCAATTGGTGACGTGTTCTCGCGTGAGGAGCGCGTAAAGAATATGGCTTCCAACGGCTATGGAGGATTGAGCCTTTGTGTTGAGTCTTCGTCGAAGCGGAGTTGGACAGGACCGTGCTCGACGGTGGACCAACCTCAGTCTAGAATAAATTTAATGTAATCGAGTACGTTCAAAAATATAATTTTTAAATTTGTATAAGCATTTTCATATATTTATAAGGTATTTCTCCACCACTTGAGTGAAAAAGTAAATCCCAACCAGTTCCAATAATATCTCTATGGTTGAATATTTCCATTGTGATATTGCTAATAGATGACAAGATAATAAGAAACGTACATTATCTATACAATATATAAAAGGAATACTTTGTTTTGGTGTGGCTTATTTTTCTACCATTTTTACCCTTATTTTATTATGTAATTACTTAATAACTTCTTATTATTAACTTCCATGTAACTTCTTATTACTAACTTCCATATTTTTATCTATATAATATATAAAAGGAATACTTTGTTTTGGTGTGCCTTATTTTTCAACCATTTTTACCTTACTTTATTATGTAATTTACTTAATAACTTCTTATTATTAACTTTCATGTAACTTCTTATTACTAACTTTCATATATTTTATTTTTAAAAAAAATTATTTAAACAAAAAACATCGTTTATATTTTCATTCATGCGCATTAAAAAAACGGATAGACGGACACGCGAGTGCCCGTCTGAACGCTAGTAATTATAATGTAGAAGTGTAGAATAGTTGATAAAAAATGGTTACGACATAGGATGGAAGCACGAGCGGTTTTAAGGCCCGGCCCGGCTGGGCATGTGCCCGGGCTCGGCCCCAAAATTTTGCCTTCTTTTATAAAAGAATATGAAAATTGTGGCGGTTAATAAGTCCTGTTATGGCGGTTAAAACCGCCACAATTAATGAAAATGCAGAAAAATAGTACTTTTGAATAAGATTTCTCATGTCATAATATATATATTAAATAAAAAGGCGGTTTTTTGTCGTTGATAATGGCAGTTTTAACCGCCGTAATTTAAACAATTTTTCACAAATAAAACATAATTTTTTTTTCTTTTTTATGCAATTAAGCGTACATTATATTAATTTTTTTTTATATGATAATATTTAGATTCAACTAAATTACAAAAAGTGCAAAATTAAAATAAAGTTGCTATTTATGACCAAATTAACCAAAAACAAAAAATGAATACTTGAAAAAAATAAAATTTAACATAAAAGTAGCCGCTACTAAAATTATAAAAAAAAACATGTATAGTGTTGTAAAAAAGAAGAAGAAAAGAATAAATTTTATCCTCAAATAATATAAAAAATATATTAGGTCCAATTTTTCAATTTATGTTCACTCTAAATTATATGGTTCAATTGATGTTAACTAGGAATTTGTATTTTAAATTTAGTTTGTAGTTACAGTAGTTAGTAAATAAAATTATGTTGTTAACTTGTTGCTAATTTCAAGAATTATTATGAATCACATGAAATGATATTCCATGTTAGTATCAGCCTCAAATTGGATATGGCTATGTTAGTTTTAAAATTATGCCGAAATCAATTAAATTAAAAATATTTTATTTTGATTAATAACTATTTATATATACAATATGAATTTATTGTCTTTAAATTTTTGTCCAGACTTCAAAAACTTTCTGACTCCGCCACTGGATGGAAGTGTGCTTCAATTGAGGAGAAAAGTCATGCCTCGCCCTTGAATATAAACCAGTCATAGCAAGGCAAAATCGCATCAAATTTCTTTCATATGATGACTTCCAATAACCATCTTTTATTATCCCTAAACTTAAGCTGCAAAATGAACCTTCCTTTTAAGATACAGATTGTGTTAATCTTATTACAAAGTAACCTTCAATCCTTCCCACTCTATTGGATAGTGCTAATATGTTTCACCATTAATTCCCCTGTATAACCTACACCAACACCAGACAAATAAGTGTATAATGAGATGATTTAGTCATCATATTCTACTTTTAAAAAGTCACTAAAATACTTCTTCTGTTTCTATAAGAGACACTAAAATACTACATCCATTTCTTTTTATAAAAGACAATCACTTTTGACAAGTCACTTTTTTAATTCATTAAATAATTAATATATCTAATCTATAAACTGATCAAATACATTAATCTCCATGTCTAAAGGAAATAGATCAGCAAAATAAGTCACTAAAATACTCCCTCCGTTTTTTATATATAGGAACAGAGGTAGTAGTTACCAATAAAATACTCCCTTAATCTCCATATCTAAAGTAAATAGGTCAGCAAAAACACTTGGAAAAGACAATATCATGAGATAAATAACAGTTGATACATATTCTTTTATTAGTTAAAAACTATGGTGCAAAACTAAAAAACCCTCGGTTGTTATTTTAAAGATTCTTTTTTAGATAATTAACAGTTGATCTTTGGATTTGTCAAAACTTTATATTGTTAACTTTTTATTCACACACTCTACAATAAGGTATTGTAACAAACTTTTACTTAATTTACCACGTGACTTAATTTAATAACTGAACACAAACCATATTACCCATGATACAATGTATAGTCGTCCACCCACTATCCCCGAGACTGTTAAGTACTACTCCATTTCAAAATGGTATTAAATTAAGACGTTTAAATTTTTAACACAAATTAAAAAATGGTTTTAAAATAAGACGTTTAAATTTTTAACACATAAATAAAAAAATACAATAATGCTATCGCAAGACACTATTATTAAATTAATCGCATTAATAATTAAACAGCATAATTGTAAAAGTAATAATTATTACTGCAACTAAAAGTAAAAATGACAATAAAACAAAATTTATTTGTTAAAACAAATAACAGAATCACATTAAAACAAACAACAGAATTACATACATGTGCAAACATTATTTCTGTGTCCTAAAAATGACAATCTTGAAATTTACAAATGCATATATAAAAAGGAGTAATAATTAAAACCTTGCTCAAAAATCAATTAAAAATTGACAGTAGACAATACTAAAATTGGAATCAACTGGTGCTTTTTATCATAAAACAAAGAAAGGAATCTTAAAAAATCTGAAACTAACAATTAAAGTACAAAATAAATGAAATGTGTATCAGAAACTTGGTGATTTTGAAAAATAACCTAAACTTACTTGCACAAGTATTCATAATCAAATTCATCAATACAACAAGTGGAGAGGAGCTGGTTCATATTACCAATGAAAAAAACAACAGAAATAGATGACAGCTTGATGATATTGTAAGAGGCTATCACGGCAGTGATGATTAAAAGAGTTTCCTACTTGTAATATAAGACGTACACAAATTTCAAAAAGCTCACTAAACTCAGTTGACCACCCACTATCCTCTCCTCTGTTATATTTATAATAAATGTAATGGATAAGAGAGTCACAGCTCAAGTGATTATAAGGTTGGAATTCTGTAAAGGAAGGAAATTGCCAAAGAAGTACAAGCAAAGAGAAATGCAGTGGGAGTTGAGGAGTTGAAAACGGGCTTAGAAGAGTTTCGACAAAACCAAACAGAAATAGAGACTAGCCACAACAGACTTACATGAAAATCTATTCATTGTTTTTCACCAATCATTAGACATTTGTTATTATATTCAAGCTTACACATAATCTCGGGCATATCATTTCTCACAAATTAATATATAGACCCTAACTAAATATTATTTATTAGTGTTGGTATTGTGTTTTATAAAACCCCAAACCTCATTACTATGTTCCAAAACGAACAAAAGAGGATACTTACACAACTTGGATAATCAAAGAGAATACAAACATAACTTAATTTTGATCGGGCATAGGAGCAAAGCTCAACAAATATACTTAAATAACAGACAAAAACTATGATTTAATATCATTGAAACATTCAAACAAAACAGTGAATAGACAGAATAATGTAAAATTACTTGCCAAATCCTCAAATGGACACAAGTGATAACAAAACTAAAAATTTGTAGAATAATATTCAGATAGCTAAAAGAACCACAACAAAAATTGACTGAAATATATTAAAACAAAACCTAATCAAACAAGCTAAATCCCATATCATCGTCACTTTCTTCTTTTGGTTCCTCCTGTCAAATTGAAACAACAACTCAATTAGAAAAACTAACAGACTAGAGTTTGACAAAAAAACATAACAACTTGGGGTGTGTTTGGTTTGATATTGTAAAACTGTTAAACTTTAAAACAATTTTCAAAAATTGCATTATCAAACATGTTTTCTTTTATTTAATACTTCAAAACTCTTTTTTAAAACTGACTTACTAAATAGTTTTTAAAAACTAAACTAAAACTAATTCAAACGGGCCAGTTCTCACAAATAAGATACCTTTTTCTCCTCAACAACTGGAGCAGCAGCAGCAGCACCACCGGCAGCAGCAGCTGGAGCAGCGGCAACAGCTCCTGGAGCTCCACCACCAGCAGCACTGGCAATCAAATCCTTAATATTTTTCTTCTCAGCAAGTTTAACAAATAGACTGGGCCAATATGATTCAACATCAACCTTTGCACTTTTCAACAAAGTGGTGATATTGTCAGTCTATTAACATTAGGTCAAGGTGCAACACATCGTATTCAAAATCAAACTATTTCAAACAAATTGAAAAACCAAATCAAACACATCGAAAAACCCTAATTAAGTAAATATATTAAAAAATAACTAATTGATTTCAAAAACCCTAATTGAGTAAATTGAATTATAAACACTAACTAGATTCAATAGAAACACTAAGATAATAAATAAGGATACAGTGACGGCAATTTTATCATCTTCGAGGATGAGAAGTGCGTATGAGCAAGCAGTTTCTCCAAGCGACATTTTCACACTACAAACCAAAAAAATCGGAATGCGAATCAAGATCTGGAGGAAACGGTTGTTGAATAACAAAAACAGATTATAATCAAATGAAATAGAAGCATGATTGAAACGAAGTGTCGTTACCGGAAATAGAAGGAAACAATGACGGAGACGACGGGAGAGTGAAGAGAATTCTGCAGCGCCGTAAATGTTATGAAATTAGGGTTTGAGGGTTTAAAAGGTATTGCCAATGGTAGTTCTTGGGCTTCTCCAGTTTTGGCCCATTTGAAAACTATAGATCTATAGCGGCCGAACAGGTGTAGGTAGCAACAATGCTTTTTACTTAGAATCTATTTAGACTTACAAAAACCAATAAGTTACGAATAATTTAAATTAATTTTGAGGTAATTGTATTTCCTTTTTATATTCTTCGTTCCTTTCTTTTTTTAGATGTTGTATTCATCCACCCTTATAGCCGCAAATACCACACTTATGACAGAAAATATTTTTTCTTTTACGGTGGTCAAAAATAGCTTCTTTTAATCCTTTTCAAGTGACTTTCTTTTCTTTTAGATTTTTTAGTTTATTTGTATAATTAATTTTTATGAATGATAAAGAGAACGGTCGCAATTATGTATAAGGTTTTTCTCAAATCAAACTAATACATATTAGTTTTGTTTAATTGAAATATAGCAATTTTAATTTTCTGTCATTTTTGTTTTTCCAATTTTATTTTATCACTTATGTATTGTTTTTGTTAATAGTAGTAGTATTGATACATGTTAATATTAAAAACCATTCTTTGAAATTGTATATTGACTCAAAAATTAGAGTAATATTGATATTGATATTTAATTAGAAGAGGTATATATAAATTATAATATAGTCCATTGTTTGAAATTATATACACTTAAATTGGGACAAGGATCCCCTAACTTTGAGGTGAGAGAGTCAGGGTAACTTTAGGTTAATATCATTCATTCAATCAATCGTGCTAACCATATTTTGGCATGTGTTCCATTATTTATATTTTCTTAGATAAAACTTAAACGTCAAAAAACTAAATAAAAAAGAAAGAGTAATGTGTTGTATGATTGCATCTTCTCCTAGCTTTCATTGGCGTCGTGAAGACATCTCCCTACTTCCTTTTGTCTCCCATCATCATCATGGCGAAATCGCCCCACCAACGTCGATCTCTACTAATTGCTTACATTTTTTATTATTTTCAAGTGTTTTGCATGGTTCATGTCTAATGTCAATAACGACTCTATATTGTTTCTTCCATCATATTGTATTTGCTGTTCTGAAAGTGATTTTCTTTTCGTGTTTGTAGTAATATTTCCTCTTTGTAACTATATTATAAACTTTATCCTTTGATTTTCAACAAAAAAAATAGGAAAAAAAAAAAGAAAAGAAAACAACAAACCATATGTTGATTGTTGTGTGCATGTCCACGACATGCGGGTTCGATTGTAGCGTACAACTCAATGAAGTGTCGAGATTCACGGTGGGGAGCGGAGTCTCGTTAAGATCAAAAACTTGGCGTTGAACAAATGTTTTTCTGGTTTCGATGATGCTTTTTTGTTTGAATTTTTCTTGATAGTTGAAGTTTTATTTTTAAAACTAATAAATATATAACACGCGTTAATATATGGTACACAAGATTGATTTAACATATATTATTAATTCAATGTCACATTGATTTTCCCACTTCAAAGTCAGGGGATCCTACTCCCTGAAATTGATAGAACAAGTAATTGTTATAAATTATAGTATAATTCACTATTTATAATACTCATGTAATACTCAAACTAAAATGTAAGTAACTATTATGTGTTGAAATTTATAGATAGAACTCAAACTAAAATGTAAGTAACTATTATGTGTTGAAATTTATAGATAGAATATGTTCCTATTAGAGTAAAATTATATGAACTCATATGGACAAGTATGAGAGTAACTATTATAGCAAAACTATAAGAATTATTAGAGTAAAACTACATGAACTCATTTGGACAGGTATGAGAGTAACTATTAAAGTAAAACTATTAGAATAATTAAAGTAAAACTATTAGAATAAAACTATGTGAGCAAGTAACTATACTAAAATGTAATATACTGTTTGGTATAGATTATTATTTATTTTTTATAAATAATATTTCATTCTAGAACCAGGAATAGGTAGGTGTTGATGATGAATAATCTTGAACCAGCTGCACTGATATCTGATTTGGTAACCCAGGGTGGACCTACAAGGGTTGCACTCCAACCCATAAGTCATTATGAAATTCAAGATGAGTGTGGTAAAATATGGAGATTAAAAAGTGTACCTTTGATTTCTCGAGTGATGGAATTTATACCTTGGATCATTTGGAGTGGATTGATATTGGTATGAGCCTTGACTTTTTGGGTCTTTGGTTGACCTAAAATAGTTGGTCTCAAGGCTTGTCGATTAGTTATTAGTCGGGGAAGTCTTAGCAGTCATGGTCGGTCTGTGAGGATGTCGTTCACTTGAGGTAAAAAGTGGAAATTCTCTGGATCAATTGCAAAAGGAATGGGGAAGAGGTGCATTAAATGCTTTTCCATCATTGGAACATTTTCACTCCTTCCTATGGGCGCATGGCCTTAGAGGTAGGTTTCAATTTGGAACGTTGATTAATGACAGACTTCCTTATAAAAGGTAGGTCCCCCCCCCCCCCATGTCTTTTTCTCCTTCACATGTAAGTTATTATTTTTCTCTACATATTGTCATAGTTAACCTAGGGTATACTCCCATAAACGATGCTCTTGAGCTCACCTGCGAAGAGTCTTCGTCGACTACGGGAGTAGAGAATCTTGAATTTATGGAACTTATCTACGGCCAAAACTTTCTCACCCTTGTCCTAGATGTGTCTCACGATATCTTTGGATCAGTGTTAAATTCTTTTGGTGATGACGATGATTCACTAATGAGTGATAATATCGTCTATGTCGTTTCTTTGACTTGTGCTAAGTATAACTTATGTCTCATTTGGTTTGAAATAATGGTGTAATATATGGGATGCTTTATTTAGTCTCTTGAGATAAACGTGTCCCGCCAAGGATCTATTGTCGTCGATCCATCTAGTTTATTTTGTGATGAAAACATAACACTCAATTGTCTGAAGGAGTTAATAGCAACAACATATGCAGATGATTATTCATGGGTGGATCTCGAGTATCTGGGGCTAATTTCCCCTTATACCCGAGAAGTTATTACGGGGGAGGCCACCTTTGAGGTGGGATCGTATCCAAATTGGTCAATCTCAGTCATTCCTTTTGGAAAGAGGGTATGCAACAAGTTTGATGGATGCTCTATTTATTTCTACGGTTGTATCTTCCAAAAGTTATCCTTCTAATTTCCTTTAATTGTTTTTTAGAAAAAGGTATTGCATCACTTCCATATTTCCCTTAACAACTTTAAATGGTTGCTTAGTATTAGATGTGGGATCAACTTCAAATAATCTCTTCTTCCATTTTTTTATGTAAACCCCCTTCCAAGAAAGGGTCTAGTCACGGTATTGTTTCTCCTTGTCTAGCTAATAGTTAAGCCTTTTATACTTACACCGAGAGATGGAAAAGTTCAATGGAGAACAAATTCATACAACTAATATAGGAAGTTAAATTGTGTGTCTGAGTTTAAATAATAAATTACATACATGGTACATATTGCAAGACATAACTTGTTACAAAAAGGGTAATATTCAAATAAGAAAAATCATAAGGGGGGCGGATAATGTTAGTAGTAAGAAACATAGCCATTGGAAGGGTCTAAAATAACATATAATAAATTATTTCTTCTCCATATTGACATGTTTTTGACATAGTATGATTGAAGATTGTTCTCCTTCAGTAAGGTCTTTCACGGTGGATGACTCGCTCGACCCATGAACTGAACCTCTTTTGGCATGGTTGGCAGGAGTGACTGGATGTGGTTGTATTTCAGGAGTTACCAAGTCCTGATAAAAATACAACATAAAAAAAACATTACAAATTAACATATAATATATGTGTCACAAAATAATTCATATTTAATCAACCGTCTTTGCAGAAGGAACATGAGGTAATGGTTGTGGATTCATTTTAGAGGTAGTTTCCAATTCCTGCCACATAAAGTATACAATTATAATACGCATCATACTGCTTTGATCACATACACTTAGATAACAACACAAACAACAACACTACAGAATGTTAATATTATGTAATGTGTATTGTGATAATATTTCATTCATCAACAAGTGTTGTTTCATGCACACTTTCCTTAATCAAAATGTATGCGGGGTTCATAAAAAAAGTGAGTAAAACGTATGACTAGATGAAAATAAAAGTAAAGAAACAAATGTAATTGAATGTCATATATATATATATATATATATATATATATATATATATATATATATATATATATATATATATATATATATATATATATATATATATATATATATATATATATATATATATATATATATATATATATATATATATATATATATATATATATATATATATATATATATATATATATATATATATATATATATATATATATATATATATATATATATATATATATATATATATATATATATATATATATATATATATATATATATATATATATATATATATATATATATATATATATATATATATATATATATATATATATATATATATATATATATATATTACCTGCAGAATTTGATCATCAGTAACTTTAGTGGATATTGGGTCATGTAACAAAAAGGAGGAGTATTATGTTGGGATCAAATATATGTGTCGCTACTGCGAAAATTGGCGCCGGCTGACAGAAGAGTCGCCACCGTGCGTTATTTATCCCTCAGAGCGGGAAAGGAAACGCTCGAAGTAAACCTCGCAAAAAACGGGGAAAAGGTATGGTCATCGCAACCATAGCCTGGGTTCGGGAGTCGGTTACGCAAGGGGAAGGTATTAGCACCCCTCACGTCCGTCGTACTCGACGGGATCCACGCTTGCTT